TAAAAAATTTTTGAAGGCAGAGTTTATAAGATTTCCCTAAATAGGTCTGGTTTAGAGACAGATCTGAAAACATTAAAAAACCCAACCAAAAAAAAAAAAAAAAAATCCCTCCACCCATTCCACCCCAAGAATTATGGCTTTACAACTTTGGAATGAAAAGAAACTTTTGGATTAATACTCTATGGAACTATCAAGGCCTTCATGTATTACATGGCCTTAATTCTCTGCTCCATACTATCTAAAAATAAATATAAGTTCCGTGAAGGCAGGGAGTCTTGTCTGTTTTTTTCACTGCTGTATCCCTAGTGACTAGAACAGTTTCTGGCCTATGCTAAGTGCTTCATGGCTATTGCTGAATTAATCAATGTTGTTGAAAGATTTTATATGCAAGTAACTGAAACCTAGTTCTTCTTGAAGTTATCCCTGATGCTCCCCTTCACCCACAGGGTACTGAAAGGCAGGGCTGGCTTGCTAGATCTATCATTTCTCCAGATGGCTCCATTTCCAAAGTCATGTACAATCCCCTCCTTCTTTGAGGATGATGATCACACAATACCTTCTCCCCTTTCTCACTGCTTATCATCTACAATTTTGGTCCCGTTCATTCTCAGTATTCATTAAGAAATACACCTCCTGACAGTCTTCTTGTCCACATCTATCTCCCATCATCACCTCAAGGAATTAAGGTGACCCATCCACTTGCTAGCCTCATTCTTCATCCTCTTTGACTTCAATAACCACCATTTCTACTCTAGGACTCTACTCCCCACACCCTTGGTATTGGTAGCACAGATGATAACAATGCTAATAATCACTAATATTGGAGGGCTTACTGTGTAGACACTATGCTAAGTGCCACAAAGGCCTTGTCTCATTTAATCTTCCAGCAATCCCATGAAGACACTGAGGTACAGAGGTTTAAATAAATTTTTAAAGGTCCTCAGCTCAGAAGTGGTGGAGCTGTAATATGAACCCAGGTCAGAAACCTCAGCCTGTGCTCTTAACCATCCCTCTGGGATGAAAAGAATCAATACTGAAACCCCAGCTTTGCCACGTCTGTCACACAGACTTTTTGACCTTGAACAAAATTAAAAACCTCTTAAGCTTCAGTTTTCTAATTCACAAGGTAGTAGCAGGAAGAAAGAACATGTTAAGTGCCTAGCACAGTACCTGACATACTACAAATGTGCATTCTGTCCATTCCACCAGTAAATGCTTCTTGAGGACCTCCCAAGCATCCAGTCCTGTGAGAGGTATTGAAGACACAGCAGCGAATAAGACAAACAAGGTTCCTGCCTTCCAAGATCTGCACAACACTTGGTGGATGCTCAATATTTGATATATAGAACAAACCCTCGAGGAGGTCCCCAGCCTCCACTCTGCCTCTCTTCAATCGACCACATTTATTCTGCTATAAAGCAATACAACGAGGGCCCTTCCCTGCTTAAAATCCTTCAGTGGATTCCTCACTGCCTCAGATATAAAAATCCAAATTTGTTAATATAATATATGAGAATGGCTACAGATAAGAGGCTCACTTTTACCCCCTTCCTTTTTTCTTCAGATGAAACCTATCTGGGAGCTTGAACTGTAAACCAGATCAACACAGACCTATTAAGGGCATTAGAATTGGAGTCACCAGTCTGGCATCCTAACCCCTCCCAACCCCCAGTCTCTCTCTCTCTCTCTCTCACACACACACACACACACACACACACACACACACACACACACACAGAGAGAGGGGGAGAGAGAGAGAGAGAGAGAGAGAGAGAGAGAGAAGCAGCAGCAGCAGCTCCTAAGGCTATGCCATGGGTTCTGTGAAACAGTTTGAAAATCTAATTGTAGGACACAACCCTTTAGTAGGTTATGAAATCAATTTAGTGGTTGGAATCAGTGATTTGGAAAACAAGAGTGCTTTACATGAACTTACAGCAAAGTACTGTATTGGTACATAAAATCTATGTTACATATGCATACACACATGCTCGTGTACTTAGTTTGATATAAATTGTATTTCTTATCAAGGATCATTTTCCAAACAGTGTGAAAGCCACTGCTTTAGATCCTCTATGTAGCCTTAGTTTCCACGTTTCTTCAGTCACATAAAACTCCATCAAGCTACTTGCAGTTCCCCAAACCCAACTTACTCTTTCACTTCTGTCTATAGATGCCAGGCACAGTTTAGGGATGCAGTAGTAAGCAAAACCAAGGTCCTATTCACATGGCACTTTGAGGGTTTAGAGACAAATTACACTAACCACATTAATCAATATATTACCACAAACCAAGATAAGTGTTCTAAATGAAAGAAATACAGTTTTTCAAGAACACATATCAAAGGTAATTGATCTAGTGTACGGGGTTCAAGGGAGGCATCACTGAAGAATCAATTAGTAGAGATCTAAAGACTATGTCAATTAACTACATAACTCAGTGGAGGAAGAGCATTCCAGATATAACACAGAGGCCCTGCTAAGAGAAAGGGCAGGTGTGCTTGATGAATTGAAAAAAAGCCAACATGCTGGAGCCCAGAGAATAAGTGGGAAAGTGACACGACACGACTGGGAAAGTTGGCAGTGGCCAGACCATGCAGGGTCTTATGGGCCAGGAGTTTATTTTGTCCTAAGAGTAATGGGAAGCCAAACAGATGATGAGATAGGAGCTGTGAAGATGCTGTGTCTGCAGTGTGGAGGATGGATCGGAGGGAAGGAGGGACTGCAGTAGACCAGCTAGGAGGCTATTGGAATAGTCCAGGGAAGTGGTGACAGTGAATTGATTTAATATATTGGAGACTGGGAGGATGGGGAGAGGGGCTGGTGGTAGTGAAACAGAGGCTCTATTAGGCTTACGGCTCACACAACTGGAAAGATGGTGTTACCAGCCTGAGAGAGTAAACTGCAAGAGACTAGGGTTTGAAGCAGATTATAGGCTTAGTCTTGGATAAACTACATTTAAAGTGACTTTGAGATGAATATGTAGGTCATGAGCTCAGAATCAATATCCTGACTGAGACAGCCTACAAGTCATGGGTATACAGATGGTAAATAAAATTGGGTACACATGAGAAAAATGCCTGGGGTTGAGCCTTGAAGGCCCCCCCACTTCCAGGTGAATTCCTACTTATTACAAATGTGTGTGCACATACACAGTTAACCACACAATTGCACGTTTACTTTTTAAACTTCAAATATAAAAATAATAAAAAATGAAAGTCTGCTCACTCCTTGGGTAATTAATGTTAATTCGATATGTACCCTTATGGGTACATACATACTTATCTACAATCTGCTTTTTAAAATCAGCAATATAGTGAGAATTTTCTTCTATATTAGAGTATAGATAGTTGTAGCTTATTCATTTGAATGGCTACAAAGTATTACACAGTAGGAATGCATTACAATTTAAACAAACTCCTGGTCTCCACTGATGGATAGTTAGGTTGTCTGGCAGACAGTTTCCATTCACTATCCACTGTTCTTCTGTTCACTGAACCCAGATTTTGTTCCAATGGCAATATGCTCAGTCCCAGGTGATGGTTCATGATTGTCTTAAGACAACTGTGACCATCCTGTTGCCCACTTTTACAGCTTCCCTTCTAGGAGTAGACATACTATCTGGTTCTGGCTAATGACCCTGAAAAGTTGGCTTTGAGAGAGCTTCTGAGTAAGCTTTTGCTTTCCTGATAAAAGAGAATCAACACTACACACTGCCTTTTCCCTTTTCTTCCTTTTTTAGACATGAATATGATGGCTAGAGTTCCAAAAGTCACTGTGCAACTACAATGCCACAGGCCAACACTAAGACTAGCAGAGAGGTAGAAGAAAAAGCCTGGGCCCAGATACACAGATACACACATCAACACTGCCCCATTTTAAAGAATATAAATGTATTCTACTTTAAAATCAGAAAAAGTAAAATGAAATGTTTTAAATAAAAAATTCAGAGCAGAGATATAAGTGAGGACCTACTAGAAGCAGCAGCACATTAACAAGATGATGGCGAAAACACTTTCAACTGTTCCTGTGAACACCTTTAGGCAGTAGGTCCAGAAGTGCTTTCTGGCTCCCTGTCAAGTACTTCCTTCTGTCTTGCTACTTTATAGAATAGCCTTTGTACACAATCTCTGACACCTCTTGCTTTCTCTTGTTTGAGATGTCTATTTTCTCTTACCTTCTCTTGGAAAATATGACAAAATAATAATCTTTTACATGAAAAGTCAGAAGGGTTTTGATTTGGGTGTACCATTACTTTTCATAAGTTCATAACTAGAATAAAAACAAAACATCAGAGCAAAAACTGTTTCAAAAGTAGAAAAAAGTTTGGGCCGGCCCGGTGGCGCACTGGATAGTGCGCCGCTTGGGAAGCGCGGCGGCGCTCCCGTCCGAGGGTTCGGATCCCACATACAGACCGGCTCCCGCTCACTGGCTGAGCGAGGCGCGGGAGCAACTCCGAGGCTTGCGATCCCGTTGCCGGTCACCGGTCCGGTACGGGGGCAACACTGAGGGTTGCGATCCGTTGCCGGACACGGAAAAAAAAGACAAAAAAGACAAAAAAAAAAGTAGAAAAAAGTTACTCTTTTTTAAAGATAAGAGTGCTTCCTCTATTTAATATTAGAAAACAATCTCTGTTCTTTTACTCCAACATTGATGGTTTCTTCTATTCTCAACCTTGCCAGCTTCTCATGTTCTGGCAAAATTAGATTTTTTATTTTTATTTATTTATTTTGTCCTTTTTGAGACTGGCCGCACTGCGCTCAGCCAGTGAGCGCTGTGAGCGCACCGGTCATCCCTATATAGGATCTGAACCCGCGGCCGGAGCGCTGCTGCACTCCCAGCACTGCACTCTCCCAAGTGCGCCATGGGCTCGGCCCGAAATTAGATTTTTTAAAATTCAGCAACTTGTAGCTCCATTAACACTTAAAAGCAATTAAATTAGTAAATGCATACTGTGTGAATCATCGATTTAAAATATTTGACATAAAACAACTTTACACATAATCCAAATTGTACATAATTCATTTATGCTTCTAAACAAATAGAACCTCACATTTGCACTACTTTTATAGTTTACAAAGTAATTGTATATACATTTTCTATACTCAAGACAAACATGTGAGATAAATATTCTTATTTTACAGAAGGAAATAGGCCCACATATTTAGTACTTTAACCACTATAGTATAGCCCTGAGACTTCAGATCTGCAAAGGTATTTAATAATGCAAATATCACACATATTTCAATTTTTATTACCATTTTCAAGATTTCCATTTTCTTAACAAAAGCAAACTATAAAAAGTTTTTCTCCCACATAATTAAAAAATATTATAGACAGTTGTACACTGACCCAATGTATGATATCCAACAGAAGCAAAATCTTTTTGGGGGGTCCTATATTGTTACCTATATACAGAGCATGAGCACCAGGACCACATTTAGACCTCCTTGTCTAATGTACACGTACGTGTGTTCAACTGTGCACGTGGCCAGGAAGGATATACAAAAATACTTTATCCAAATTTGGAGTTATAGGGCCTGATTATCCCAGCTTAAGTCTATACGGACATGACAATTTGGTCATATCTCTCATCTTTAGTCATAATTTATTTCTCTTTCTCCATTCCACTTTCTCCTTAAGTACCCTGCACCATTTAAACTGGCAGTTACTATGTAATTTTTTTTTTTTTTTTTCAGAATTTTCCCTTACTTATTTCTAAATCTTGAAGACATTTTTTCACAGTATATGGGGAACTATAGCTTATATTCACTGCCAGAAAAGGGTCGGTTCTAGCATTAATTTCTTAGCAAAAAGCTGAGGGAAAAGTTGAACAGAAAGGAAAAGAATAGCTGGCAGAGCAGTGACACCTGCACCCAGAAAGTTGCACTGCAGCTCTTCAATACGTGAGACTATCCTTTTGTTATCACTCTGCTAATTTACAGAGGAAAATTCTGGCTGGTTGCAAATTCAAAGCAGATCAATATGTTTAAATCACTGGTTCAATGAGTCACTCTTTTTAATGTTATATAATGTTTTTATTGCATTTGAGGACATTTTCAATAAATATCTTGAGTTTGAGGCCTTGGCTAGGTAATCTTTCTGTACTAGAAATCAGATTTCTCTGGCACAACTCCATTGCCTGCAATGGTATTTATCAAAACTACAAATGCCAGCACACTGAATACTTCAATACCATACTCAGCTGTTCATATGTAACTCTCTCATCAGCTATGAAACAAACCAAACATAAATGCTGAATACATAATACAAATCAACAGATTCTTCACAGAAGAAAATAAAAGACTAATTTTCTACAATATGTCACCTGTTCATTAATTCTTCAACAATAATTAGACTATTTCAAGGATAATAAATTTTATGCACTACCCATGTTTTCTCAACATTTTTTATCTAGATTCTAAAGGATGTAAACAAAGATGCATATTGTCAGAATTGTTTTCATAAACTTCTGATGTTTCTCTTGCTGTGCACCTTACAATGATGAATATATGGAGACAAGGACAAAAGTATAAGGACAAATGTACATTTAAACTATTAGTGGTCACGTGAATTTTGCTTACATAGCTTGTTGCTTATATGGGTGTTGTAAATGACAAGATAAAATAACAAAGTTTGATAAGCTCATCTGTGCCCTATGAACTTTAGTCCACTCACTGCATAGCTTGATTCAGTTACTATTTATTAGTTTAAAAAAATGGTTTTTAAAAGCTGCAAATCACACTTTATTACCCATTTCTGAATCATGAGGGGGTAAATTGTGGCATAGTTCTCTTGTGCCACTGACTCTTTTAGGGAGAAAAGTTCTGCAATAAAATAAGAGTTTCCAAACTCTTTTTAAAAAAAAGCTTGAATTTTGTTCTATGATTGACCTTCACTCTACAGTCCCTTTTACCCAAGGCATGCTCCCTGGTGCATCTTTTTGAGGTTTAGTTTCTGGGAAGTTTTCAGCAAACCTTTCTCGTGCTTTGTCCCAGTTTTTTTTGCTCTTGTTTTGGAGAAGGTGAACATCTTCAATTGAGGATGGTTTGCCTGTCCCCAAGCCAGCATGTGTTCGCCGAAGCTGGAGCTGGATCTGTTACCGAAAAGTTGAGCAGAGGACTTATTTTAGAGTCTAAGCACATCGAAATCTCCTGTGTCCAACTTGGTACTCTAACTATAATTCTTTGATTTCTTAAATAAAGCTTGATACCAAAGAAAAACCTGTCAAATGCACCAAATCCATAAGGGAATATATACAACATTATACATAATGCTAAAACTCATTTTTCCATGTTGCCTTGCCTGTGAATAAATATAGCCAATTCTACAGAAAATAGCAATCACCAAATTTTGTTTAGATGCTGCAGAGTATGTCATCTCACTCTAACCAGAAATAAAGGCAATAAACATATTTAAACCTATTGTCCTATCCTCACTTAAATAAGTGAACAAGTACATTAAACATTAAGAGTCAAAGAGAACCTGGGTTTGTTTGTTTTCTTTTTCCATAACAGGAGGGAAGGACTACTTATAATTCTGAGAACACTAAAAGCTACCAGTCAGTTACTAAGTGCCTAATGTAAGGTACCATGCTTAGGGGCTTTATATTCAAGACATCCCTGAAAAACAGTCCTTATCATTTTTATGTAAGAATACTGAAGTCCAAACCTGCCCAAAGCCACACAGCTAGAAAATAATGGAGCACATATTCTATCCTATGTCTGACTACAAATCCATGTTCTTTCCATTGAGAAAACTGATAGACTCACATGGATCCATCTTTTATTTCTTTCAATACTAAGTAATTACCATGACAGTTCTGTAGTCAAGTTACTTTTTAAGGTTTCTGTGAAAGATATTTTGAAACTCCTATGAACCATAGGACTACAGAATTAAACCACTGTATTGTTTTCCAGACATTATTCTCTACATTGCATATTACATGCTCTAATTCTTTAACCTAACATATTCTCCAGCAAATACAGAATCTGCCTGTTTGTAAACTTACACTGTGACTGTTCGTGCAATGTCCAGTACCAGGCATCATAAGAAAGTCATTAAAACAACTAAAAGACAAAGAAGAAACTTTGGCTTAGGAAACAGCACTTACTATCCTAGCTTTGATGTAGGAAAAAATTCTAAAAGAGGCTTCCTAAAACATAAACAAAGCACATATATATACGTGTATATAAATATATATACACGTACATATACATACGTATATACACATATATACATACGTATACACACACACACACACACGGCAACTGTAAATGCCACAAAGTAAAAACGTAAATATAATCATGTGTGGTTTTGCTTGCTACTACATTCCCAGCACTTAAGGCAAGGCCTGGCACATTACTGTACACAGTAAATGTCTGCTGTAAGAATACGTGAATGAAAGAAAACACAAGTCTTACCGGAGTTCTCATTCCTCCACCATCCTTCCCCAGGCCCTCTCCTTTTTTCCAACCCATCTTCTCCAACATCTTCCGACCTTTGTTGCTATCAGTAATTTCACTTTAAAAAAAATTAAATGACAATTGATTTATAAAAAGACCTTTTAGGCCAGATTTATAACAAATTCATGAATTTAAAATAATTGGTACAACCATTTTAGAAAAGATAAAGTTGAAGACAAATTCCACTCCTACATATACTACTTAATAGAAAAAAGCATGTACATGTGCACCAAGACATGTATAAGAACGTTCTTGCAGCAAATCTAATAGCAACGAATTAGAAACAATCCAGATGTCCATTAATGGTAAAATGAATAAATTGTGTTATACACATACAAGAGAAAATTTAAAAATTAAAATTAAAAAAGTAAATAAATTAAAATAAATAATAGAAATAAACTATACCTAACAAAATAATGGGACAAAAAGAATATAGATACAAATAATGAACTGTTCCACTTATTTAAAATTTAGAAATAAGTGAAATCAATCTGCTGTCAAGATGGTGGCTATCTTTAGGGAGGAGAGCAGGACAGCGAGTTGGAAGGGTCACAAAGAGGGTAGGCTTCTGGGGTTACTGATAATTTTCTATTTTTTGTCCAAGTATTCTGCTAACTTAAGGGTGTTTTAATTTTATGTCCTACCACGTATCTTTTCAGTTCTACAAAATGTACTAAATTAGTTCTTCAATAACAATAAACCATCAATAAGGTAAAATAAAATGGAACAAAAAATGTTTCAAGAATTATAATTCAATACTTACGAATGGACAGATGCAGGAGCATCATCTCTTTGGAAAGTTCCTTCACTTCCAATCTGCTCTCTACGTTTTCCAGCTCTATCTTTATATTTTGGATTCTTCAGTGTCTTTTCATCTTCGTAGTCTGTATTCTTAATATACAGAAAACAAAGAAAGCTCATACAAAAAAAGGAATTTCTGTACAATTGCCTTACTTAGCAAATACGGTTCAATGGGGCCTCTATAAACAATAATTTAAAACAAGCCATGATATAAAGACAACTGTGTTATTAGATATTCTATTCCCTTTCAAATGTTTATATTATTTCGAATTGCTCCCCAACATAAATATAAATGGTGAGAAGATAATATGGTAAAAATATCTTGACTTAATACTGTGTTCTCATACTGTCAAATGAACTACCAATGTTCAAACCCCTGAGGATAAAAAAAAAACCTAATTCCCCTTTTCTGTAAGGAACTGAAAGTTCCAAAGGACCTAAAAGAGTTTGATAGTTTCTTGGAAGGGAAAGAGGTAGGAAGTTCTTAAAAAATGAGAAAAGGTCAAATACTCTTTATATCCCAGTGATGATAATAGTTTTTTGCTTCAATACAGCTCCATTTATATGACTCATTAGTCATTCAACAAATATTCACTGAGTAAAGAGTGTGTTAAGCTCCATGGTAGGTGATGGAATGAAAAGAAATGTATAGTCCCAGAGGGAAGACACATAATCTTTAGCTTGCTGTATACAGTATGACTGGTTCGACAATAATAGTATTCATAAGGTGTGGCAGTGGCACAAAGAGGTAGTCAATTCAGCTGGGGGCTTCAGAGAACGCTTCCTTTCCCTTGTTACTACTTCCCGATCTTTATAAAAAGTGACATTCATCCAGAGAGATGCAAGAGACTGGAAAGCAACTCAAGGAAAATACCAGAGAAGTTTTTACTTGATTTTGCTTTTAAACAGAGAAGAAAAATATAGAACCACCTATCCTAGTGAGTTCTTCCCCCAGAAGATACAAAAATTGTGTAAACATGTTTGAGAAAACATTTTATTCTCTCCTTACATGGCTTCTATTTTTTCACAAACTGGCCTAAATGAACATTTTTTTCTATTATGATTTCTCTCTTACTACAACAGAAACAATAAAAGTACAATTGTGCATAAAAATATTTTGGCAACAACTCCTTTTTTCACATCTTCATGAAATGTAAAAGGCACTGGACAAATATACTTCAGACACAGATTCTGTATTTAGCTCTGTCATTTACTAGCTGGGGACCCTGAGCTTCAACTTCTCAAAAGTAAACTGTAAATATTACCTTCCTGGTCTACTTATAGGATTAATGGTAAATTTTTTAACAGCTTTGTTGATGTATAATTAATATACAATAGACTACACATAAAGTGTACAATGAGATTCTTCTGAGATTTATACACCTATGAAACCATTACCACTAGTAAGATAATAAACATATGTCTCCCCCGAAAGTGTCCTACTCCCTCTTTGTAATCCAATCCTCCACACCTTCCTGTGTATCCTTCCTCCCTGTGTCCAGACAACCACTGATCTTTTTTCTATCACAATACATTAGTTTGCTTTCCTAGAAGTTTATGTAAATAGTGCAGGACAGTGGCCTTGAACCAACCCAGTACTTCCCCCTTTCTCATTTGTAGTTCTCAAGAATAACTGTAGAATGTGCTGAGAACACAACATCCTGAAATAAGGAGGGACTGGTTGGAAAATCCAGGCTCTGTTCCAGATCCCAGCTAGAAACAGGATGTCTCTCAACACTTAGCCTTATGAGTCACGTGACCCTGGGATATTTAACCCAGGGAGGGCTGCTTTCCAGAGTGTATCATCTGCAGTGCAAGTGAGGCACACGCAATGGAGACTCCATCTGTATAGAAGGCAGCTTCCGTTGTCCCTTGCTGCCTATCTGTAAGTAATAAATCTGCTTCATGTGACTTGTTGCATATGAGTGTGTTCGGTCTCACCGGACTCGGACAAGCTGGAAACCAGTGCACAGCAAACCTGCTTCACAAGTGGAAGCATACTGTACGTACTCAACTTGTCTCACTTCTTTTACTTTGCATGATTATTTTGAGATTCATGCAGGTCATCTTCTATATCAATAGTTTCTTTTTTTTCTTTTTCTTTTTTTTTTTTTTTTTACTGCTAAATAGTATTCAACTACATAAATATACCATAGTTTGTTTATCTATATATGATGGACATTTGACTTTCTCCCAGTTTCTATTACAAAAAAAAGCAGCTACAAACATTTGTTTACTAGTCTTTGTATAATCATCTGCTTGCATTTCTCTTGGGTAAATACCTTGGAGTGGAATGGCTGAATCATATGGTAGGTGTACATTTAACTTTTCAAGAAACTTTCAAACTCTTTTCCAAAGCAACTGCACTATTTTACATTCCCACCAGCAGCATATGAGAATTTCAGTTCCTCTATGTCCCTTCCAACGCTTGCTATAGTCAGTTTTTAAAATGTTAGCAATTCTAACAGATGTGTAGTGGTACCTCACTGTGGTTTTAATTTGCATTTCCCTAATGATATTAATCATCTTTTTGTGTGTGTATTTGCCATCTGTTTATCTTCTTTGACAAAGTGTCTATTCAAATCTTTTACCCATTTATTAACTGAGCTGTTTTCTTATTATTGAGTTCTGAGAGTTTTAAATATATTCTAGATGTAAGTCTTTTATCAGATATATGATTTGCAAATATTTTTCCCAGTCTGTGGCTTGTCTTTTCATTCTCTTAATAGTGTCTGTGGAAGAGCAAAAGTTTTCAGTTTTGAGGAAGTGCAGATTATAAATTTGTTCTTATAGATTGTGCTTTTTTTTTTTTTTTTTACTTTTTGTCTTTTTTCGTGTCCGGCAACGGATCGCAACCCTCAGTGTCACGCCCGTACCGGACCGGGACCGGCAACGGGATCGCAACCCTCGGTGTTGCTCCCACACCTCGCTCAGCCAGTGAGCGGGAACCGGTCTGTATGTGGGATCTGAACCCTCGGCAGGAGCGCCACCGCGTTCCCAAGCGGCACACCGTAGCAGTGCGCCACCGGGCCGGCCCTAGATTGTGCTTTTTGGTGTTAATTATCTTAGAAATCTTTGCCTAACCATTTTTTGTTTTAAAGGTTTCTAGAAGTTTTAAAGTTTTAGATTTTATATTTATGCCTACAATCCATTTTCAGTTCATTTTTGTACATAGTACAAAGTATGGATCAATGCTCTTTTTGTTTTCTGGGTTGTTTTTTTTTTCCCTTCTGCATGACTGTCCAATTATTCTAGCACAATTTGTTGAAAAAAACCACCCTTTCTCCAAACTGCTTTTCCATCTTTGTCAAAAATCATATATATATATTGGTTTATTTCTAGACTCATTATTTTGTTCAACTCACCTATTTGTTTATCTTTATGGAAATATAATAATCATTGTCTTAGTCATTGTATTTTATAATAAGTCTTGAAATCAGGTAGTATTAGTCCTCCAACTATGTTCTTCAATGGCTTCTGAATATAAGTTTTTTTGAAAACCAGAAAAGGCTATTCAAACATAGCTATGATCATCATTTGCAACTCCAACCTCAAAAGTTATGTTATGGTACCAGAACAGTAAACAACTAATAGAAATCACATAAATCTCAAAATTATACTAAGTAGCTCTTTTTTTAATATATAAAATGTACTCAGCATATCTAAAGGCATGTTACTCAAAACCAAATATACAGCTTGACACATACAATATTTAACATCCTTACCTGTAAGCCATATTTCACTCGTATTTTCTTTAATTCTTTTCTTCTTTCTAGCTCTTTTTCCTCCTTACTTAGTGTTGGACCAACTCAAAGGAAAAAAGTGAGTTTAATGAAAAAAAAAAATCCACCAAATCTGATAGATTTTGTAGAAAATAATACTAACAGTATTAGTACCCCATTCAGATTAACCAGAAGTTCAAATAAACATTAATATAAAGGATCTAGGGTTGTGATGATGTCTTTTCAGCATCTTGATAGCTAAATCTACTGGGAAAGTAAACCAAAAACCAAACATTATAATACGATTACAGTAATAAATACCAAAATGAAAATGAACACATCAACTTTCCAAACTGATTACTACAATCAAATCTCAAATGCAGAAATATTAAGTAAATTTTTCAAAGGAACATAGGCATGTGCAAAATAAAAATAAAAATCACAGAACACCCAAGATTTATGTTATTGTGTTATGCGACATACTTTCAAATTAGTATCAGAAAACAAAAAATAAACAATGGACACATATACTTGGTATTTAGGGGGAAAACTGATGTGGAAAAAAGATGACTTCTTACTAGTTCAAAGTATCTATTAAATTTTAAGATTTTTAGATGAGTAGGTTTATAGCACCTTTAATGTCTTGGCTTACTATTTTCTATGTTAATATTATATGACAGTGTTCAACTGTGGATGACTTTTTCTTATCAGTAAACAGGTATTAAAAGGAAACCAACCTTTATTAAATTATGTCACAATTACTTTTTAAATTATTTATTTACTTGACAAATAAAAATTATACGTATGCTGTATATCATGACGTTTTGATATATGCATACATTGTGGAATGGCTAAATCAAGCTAATCAACATATGTATTACTTCGCATAATTATCATTTTTGTGTGCGTGGTGAGAACATTTAAAATCTACTCTCTTAGCAATTTTCAAACATAATTATTCTTTTGAAAGACATTTAGCTACTACAGCAGTCTGCTTCAAAATCCTACTAAACTGAATTAGCAAAAACAGAGTGAATCAGTCTCATTCCTGGTCAGAAAGCAATCTAATGCTACAATATCACATAGCTAAATTACTACATAGAAAACTCAACTACAATCACAATCTATTAGCCTAGGTCTCAAATTCCAAATATATGTCATTTCTTAGTCTCAACTGATAATATTCACTGAAATACAGATGTGTCTCAATCCATTATTACATTAGATACAAGATTGATAGCTTCATACAAATATATCTCAATATGGTATCTATCAATTAGATATGAAGCCGGTAGCTGACTAATATTTTAAAACACTGAATTAAAGAGAAAAATTATCATACCCACATTTAACAATGTTTCACATACCAAAAGATTCATCTTTCTTATCAAGACGAAGGTGAGCTCTAACTTGCCCTGGTTCACAGCCATCACAGGTATCACCGCCAGGGTGAATGTGAAAGGATAACACAGTCTCTCCAATTTTCACTTCATCTCCATGCTCAAGTACATAAGGGTCACATTTAGTTTTTGGCTAGAGGGGAAAAATGTTACAAAACAGAAATCCAAACCAGTCACGTATGGTTATTTTATGTCTACTGTAAGCAATGTCTGATTATAATTTTAAAAATATTTAAAATGATTCTTAATGAGACAGATGGACATGTACACACACACATGTCCCCAACTTGATGGATGATCCATAAAAAACGTTCTACCAGTGAAGAAGATAACTGAACTGAGCAACTTAGACGGGTGTCAGTGCATCGTATCTCTTTTTTTTCCCTCTTTTCTCTTGATAATTCAGTCTTATTTCATTTTTTATTCTTACAGGCTAAGCATAAGGCCTCCCTCCTTCATTCCCTCTCCTCCTTCCATATGTTATTATAAGCCAAGCACTTTACTACATGCTGGGGATATAAGTGTTAATAGGATAGACACAGCCCCTGCCTTCAAGGAGTTTCCAGTTTAGCAACATTTCCATTAAGACAATTTTAAAAGAAAAAAGGAAAAAAAGGAGGGCCCCTAAAGTTGCTATAAGAACATTTACTCCGAATAGCTTTAAAATACATTCATATCTAAAAATAAGGCATAGATACATAATTAGAAGTCAAAACTCAATAGCCAACTATCCCGATTATATACTTTTTTCAGCCCTTTCTGGAATTCCTTTCCAAGTAACACATTTGGGCTTGAACTCTGATCCAAACCAAATGGTATCTATAATGACTATGACCTTCAGGAATAAAAAATTTCCATCTTAAACATAATGCATAGATGATTAATACATATATGCTCACCTGAAGAATCTGTTTTCCATTAACAATTGTGCCATTTTGACTGCCTTGATCCACGAGGACGTAACTTTGTAAGTGATGGTCAAAATAAATTTCTGCATGAAACTTGGGGAAAAAAAAAAAATCAAGCTATTATAAAGTACTATACTTTTCTTAACCATGTATAACTATTTCTCTATGATATGATGCAGACTTTAGTCTCTGATAATTAATTATTTTTAAAACTTTTTTTCTGAATATAAATTATTATGCTTCTGATAGAAATATAGAGGTTATAGAAGAAAAACTCATCTATAATTTAACCTTTATCATTAATAACAGTATGTGTCCTACCTTTTCAACTTTTTTAATACAGTTAAGATTATACTATATAAACAACTTGAAACTTTTTCACCTAATAAAAGTATTTGTCCATATTATTAAAAATTCTTAATACAAAAGATGGTTTGTTTTTACTTTTTTGGCAGCTTGCTGGTATGTGATTTGGATCACTCAAGGCCAACTTCTCAGTTTTCCAGATCTTCAATACTCAGAACAAATCACTCTTTCCTCATTCCATAGCATTTCATTTACATATTCCTCTTATTTCGCTTCTTTGGCTTAACATTATGTCATGAAGTTCATCCAGTTGTTGTGCACAGCTGTAGTTCATTCTTTTGGATGAATGGTAATCTGCTGTGTGGATATACCACAATATATCTACTCTCCTGATAATGGACAATCAGGTTTTTCCCAAGGTTTTACTATTTTAAAAAATATTGTTATGGGCTGGCCCGGTGGCGCACTGGATAGTGCGCCGCTTGGGAAGCGCGGCGGCGCTCCCGCCCGAGGGTTTGGATCCCACATACAGACTGGTTCCCGCTCACTGGCTGAGCGAGGCGCGGGAGCGACGCCGAGGGTTGCGATCCCGTTGCCGGTCCCCGGTCCCCGGTCCGGTACGGGGGCAACACTGAGGGTTGCGATCCGTTGCCAGACACGGAAAAAAGACAAAAAGACAAAAAAAAAAAAAAAAAAAAAATATTGTTATGATCTTTTTTGTACACGCAATCATTTTGCATACAATGCAAGTGTTTTTCTGGGACATATACTTACAAATGGAATTGCTAAATTATGCAAGTGGTCTTCAAAAAGTTCATGGAAGGATTCATATCATCTTTTAATTCAATTTTTCCATGAACTTTTTGAAGCACCCTTGATATACTATGCAAATCTTAAATTTCACTAGATACTGCCATATTGCCTTCCTTCCAAAGTGGCTGTACCAATTTATATTCCCATCAGCAATCTATGAGAACTGCTCTATATATCCTTAACCAAAACTTGGTATTGTCAGAATTCCTAATTTTTGCTAGCCTAACAGGTGTGAAATGAAGTCTTACCATTGTGATTTTAATTTGCATTTCCCTGATTACCACTGAAAATGTTTTCTTACATTTATTAGCCACTTGGGTTTCCTCTTCTGTAAATTTTCTTCATGTACTTTGTACATCTTTTTCCAATTAGGTTGTTTAGAATAACAGTAACTGTTTAACCCTTTGATAAAGGGGTTTAAACAGTTTCAAGTCTTTCAATACTGTCAAACCCTATTCCAAAAGCTGTTCTAAATCATGCTACCAACAGGAATGATATTTAAAAATATGTCAGTGAAAACTTCACTTGTATTTCTTAGATTACCACAAAGATTGGTGTTCATATATCAACCATATTTCCTTTATTGTAAATTGCCTATTTATGTCCTTTGCTCATTTATCTATTGCCATGGTGGGGTTTGATAAAACAAATTTGTATGAACTTTTAAAATATAAAGGATATGTATTTTGTCATATTTGTTGTGACTGTCCCAGTCTGCCTTTTAAGTATGTTTCTTAACACATATAAAAAGCTTCACACTGGGCCGGCCCGGTGGCGCACTCGGTTGAGTGCGGCGCTTGGGAGCGCGGTGGCGCTCCCGCCGAGGGTTCGGATCCCATATAGAGACCAGTCCGCTCACTGGCTGAGCGCGGTGCGGGTGCGACACTGAGGGTTACGATCCCGTTGCCGGTCGCAGTACGTGCGTGACACTGAGCGTTGCGATCCCGTTACCGGTCACGAAAAAAGACAAAAAAGGAAAAAAAAAAAAGCTTCACACTTAATGAAAATTACCTTGTCCTTTGTGATTTTTACCATTTTTTTTAAACTCAGAAAGTTTTCTATCCAGTGGTTAAGTATTTGTTTCTGTTTTTTCCCCTAACATTAATATAAAGTGTTTTTTAAAAATTTAATTGTTTTCACCTACCTTGATATGTGTTAGACATGCTGTTAAACTGATTTTGCCAAGAAATTACCTACTCCACCAGTAGATGTTAGTTTAATAGAAAGAAAGAAAAAACAGAAATGACACTAGAGAACGACCTTTATTTTAGATCAAAGGTGAGTAAGAACTTCTTTGCTATTTAACTTACAGACTGGGTTTTCTTTGGAGGCAGGAGAATCAACGATATTAGTAAAGTGAAAAGGCAAGATAATTCGGCTGGAGTTAAGATTATGAGGATTTCCCCCCCTCTGAATGAGTCCCCAAAAAGTGAAAGTAACTACACTTTCAAACTAATAATGGGAAAGAAATTTCATTCCAAAATGACAAAAATCACACAAAATTTACTTCAGGTCCATATCATAGTCTATTAAATAGAAACAAAGTGAGAATAACTGAAGGTAAAAAAAAAAAAAAAAGAAAAAAATGAGAATGATAACAACCATAAGAAGGGAGAAGGAAAAACCACAGAAAACATAGTAAAGAAAAAGAGAAATATGAAGTATAAACAGCCTTGGTAACCCTTTTTTTTTCCTACTTAATAAATTAAGTTGCAATTCTGTTCTTCCTGTTTGTTTTGAAAACTCAATTGTTCTTTTTCCTGAAACCATGTGGGGCTCAATGGAGAAGAGCTGTATACAAGAGCCTTGGGTAGTGAAGGACAGATAATTATTGGGTTGTAAAAATACTCCGGGCTCAAAGAAACCACCTATTAAAGTAGCCTGAATCCAGGTATGATTCATTTTTGAACTGCCATAAAAAGTAGCATATTTATTTTGCTACATAAGTGTTTGTTAAATGGGCACTACATTAATACTTAGATTAAATTAATCTATGTTTTCTACTCCTGCTCCAGACTGTTAAAAAATAAACATAATATATTCAAATTGTGATCAAAAATTTTTATTTTCTCAACCACTCGAATAAACAAATCTACACCACCTTCATTACCATTACTACACAAAATATTAACCTTTCTATGAAATGGAAAAAAGCCCTAAGCTTTCTACTGTAATGATGATTTTTAAATTACATTTAGGGGGCTATATATTTGAGAAATTAAAGGGCTTACCTTACTGACACCAACTTCAGGGATTCGGAGAGTATGTTCCATATCTTTTTCTCTGCAAAGTTAAGTAAAGGGTCTTTAATAATGTTTGAAGCATATATAAATGCAGCACTTAAAGTGTGACATGGAAAGAATTTTTAAAAACACAATGTTAAAAAATACAAGTCTAACTCCTAGTTACAAATTATTCCATTTCCTTACTCCTACTCTAGATTTCCTTTGCTTTCACACAGTAATTATTTGTTCACGTTTTTTTTCCTCTTCAGACTGCTTTCTTTGGGTAGAGATCTTGTCTTAGGGCTTTTTGTATCCACAACACATAGAACAATACTCGGTCAATAAAGTGTTTTTTAAATAACTGAAATAATGATATAGAAATATGTCATTTTTACCTTCCAATTGTAGCAGGATTTACAGCTGTAATGATAAAAAGTGATCCTGTCTGCAACACTGGTGATCTAATAACAATTACTCTAATACATGGGGGCCAAATTTTTTCTTCGTCTGCCAAGGAAAGAAGCAGATAAACATCAATTCAAATGCTATGAAAAAAATGTTCATAGGGATAACTATGAGGCATCCATAAAATAAAAATAAATTGATCGAAAATCTTAATTCTTACTAAAGTTTCTTAAATTCTGCTATATAATATATATAGCAAAGAGTAAGGCTTAATACTGTTATTAAAGTGGTCAATATAAAGGTATGCAGCATATTCAGCATCTATCACAGGTTATAATCAACTCTTCCTTTTTTAAGGTCTTGGAATTTGAAAATATCCCAAACAAATATCTTTATATTATTTTAAGTAAGAAAAATTGAGCCCACTTTTTTTTTAAAGAGAGATTCCACTGAGAACAAAAGAACAAAATAAGCTCATACACTATAATGTGAAATCCTATGCTTTAAAAGTATGTCTTCACATTTTCAAGTAAAAAAAATTAGATTTACCATAACACCTACGTAACTAAATTCATGAACTACACTTTTTAAAGGCAACTTGCTGTCCCCCCTCCCCAATTACAAAAGTATACCACAAATACCTAACCCCCTAAAACATCCTTAATATATACTTTAGGGTTAGAATATACATAGCTTGGTTTTGTGTTCTATTGATTAGGCCATTCGATACAATGAAATTTTCTTAACGTCTAAGTATTAGTTATTTATTCACATCCTACTCTCTAAAAATAACCAAGTGGTGGCACACATAATTTTCAATAATGCCATTAAGATAATCAGTTTATTTTTTGACAGATAGTATCACTAACATTTTTAACTGTTTTGCCCTTTTACAGTTACCAACTGGTTATTTATTAAAAATGAAATAATGACTATTTACTTACCTTCATCCTCACTATTTTCTGCAGTTATATCGTCTTCACTAGTAATGTCTTCGTCATAACTATCCTCGGTCTGAGAGTCTGTGATTTCACCTTCTTCGGGCTCACTATCAGTCTCTATGATTTTCTCATCTTTAAATGAAGCTGAATTAGAGATGATTTCACTAACAGGAGATTCTATAGGATTTCTGCTAACTGAAACAGTGAATTTTGAGGGACTATTTTTATGATGAATGTCTATTTTGGTCTTCTTTTTCACATTTGCAAAATTTTCTTCCTCACTGCAGCTTATATGTTCAACATTGGAGGCTTTTTGATCTTCTGAATTCAGATCCTGGAAAGAGGTGGGTAGGCAGGAACAGGGGAGAATAATCTTAAATATCACTATCTTATAACATTACATCAATTTTCAACGAATTACTGAAGATATATGTACAGTGAAATAACAATAGTTACCTGTACCCCTATTCTTCTCATGTTCCCTTTCTTGGTTAATGATATTACTATCCTCTTATCCAAATTAAATACCTTATAGTAATCTTTGACACCCCTGTAACCACTGCACGGAATCAATTACTAAGTGTTACAGACTTATCCCAAATCTGTGCCCCTATCTATTCTCATTGTCCTAACGTTCCCAGACCAGGCCCTCATCAGGTATTGCCTGGACCACGTGATAGCCTAGACCAATGCTGTCTGATAAAAATATAATGTTAAGCCATACAAGGGTACTTCAAAAAGGTCATGGAAAGATTCGTATCATATTTTAAGCCTATTTTTCCACAAACTTTTTGAAGAACCCTCGTATTCATACTACTAAATTTTCTAGTAGCCACATTTAAAAAGTAAAATTATTAATAAGACAGTTTACATTTTTTGTACTAAGTCTTCAAAATTTAGAGTGTATTTTACACTTACAGCACATTTCAATTGAGACTAGCTATACTTTACATGCTCAATAGCCATACATAGCTAGTGACTACCTTACTAGACAGTGCAGGCCTACAGAATAAACCTACTCTAAATTTTCCTTCCGAACTTTTCACCAATTAGTAAGTCAACACACATAAAATACAGAATTGGCTTTACTAACATGAATACAGAATTGGCTTTACTAACAACATGAACTTAAAGATCCAAATGTACCCAATGTAGCAAAAGTGTAGTTTTGCTAAAATTTAGTACTTTTAGAGTTGTTTTGATAACACACAAAAGTTAAATGTGCAGACAAATTATTTATATCTCTTTTATTACAAAATTTCAACTTACCTAGCATAAGCCTTTTAGTATTTGTTGTACATATATAGCTGGCATGCATTATGACAAATAAGCAAATCTAATTTTCTCATTGATAAAATTATATACATACACATCGTAAAATGGCGAAATTGAGCTAATATGTGCATTATCTCACATACTTATTTTTTGTGGTAAGAACACATAAAATTTACTCTCACAGATTTTCAAGAATACAACACATTGTTATTAATTGTAGTCACCATGTTGCACAGTGGACAAACCTATTTTTTTTAATGTAAAAGTAAATATTTATTTAGAACAAGAGAAGAAATTACAAGAGCCTGGAACCTGTCATACAGAACCTGATTAAAACCTTCCCCAAAGCTGATTAATTATGCTGATACTATTCACTGCACAGACCTGACATATCGAAAGGTCTAAAGGAACTTCTGTTCCTAACCCCAGGCATAACCTCCACCTCCAAAAAGTGAGGCTCAAGAGTATCTTAAAAAATAAAGAAAATAATGAGGATGCTTTAACCAGTTTCTCATGACTTCACAGCTACCTTTTAGAGTCCTCAAAGAATTCCCAAAATTCTATCAGGATTTTTCTTAAGTTCCTGTCCTGGAGTTCACACATTTTCAAAAAAGGATGGTAAAGACATGCAGTTATGGGAGCTAGGCTGGACTAAAATATCACAGAATGCTTTCCACTTTGATTCTCTAGTTTGTCAGGAAAAGACCATTTGAGGATCCTGTACACTCTTTTCTCACTGTCAGGGAGAAATGCTCTCACAATGTAGACTTCCAAACAATTCAACCACTAGTAACAGGCACAAGTCATTAAAACAGAGGTCTTGAAAGCAAACAGAAAAATCATTTTCAGTATCTCAGTCATATACTCTTCTGTTTCTAGGTATTGTCAGTGAAAAAAACAGACAAATAGAAACAAATCAAATAGAGAACTGAAAATAAAATCCAACAGAATCCTAACGCCATATGCGAACGTTAGAATTTATTATTTTAAGTAATTTTTCTTTAGTTAAGTGAGAAAAATATGAGAGAAAATTTCAAGAGTAAAGTACCAAATAGTCAACACAATTCACAAAATGCCAATACAAGAAATAAGTCTTTTCATTACCTGTAAACTACCAAACTTATTAGGGAGTAGAAATAAGATCACTGATAACATTTTTTATATTTTCCCTTTTTCAATTTAACATTGTATCATAAGCATTTTTATATATATAACTACCAAATCTGAAGGCCTATATAATAGTTTTCAATTAAGCATACCACCAATTTTTTTTAACCAGTATCTTGCAGGCCACTTAAAATTTTAATTTTTTTCTGTGCTCATAAATATTGCTATGTAAGTATGCAAAGAAATTTTTCTTTCATTTGGATTCTCTAAAAACTAAATCATTGGAAATGAGATTTTCCAATTAATGAATATGAACACTTTTATGGTTACTGACACATATAACCAGCCTGTTTTCCAAAAAGGCACCAGTTTACAGTTCTAATAAATATATACCTCGCTCCATGTTTGCCAGCAATTAATTTTTTAAAAAATGTTTGCTAAAGGGCCGGCCCGGTGGTGCACTTGGTAGAGTGCGGCGCTTGGGAGCGCAGCGGCGCTCCCGCCGAGGGTTCGGATCCCATATAGAGACCGGTCCGCTCACTGGTTGAGCACGGTGCGGGCGCGACACCGAGGGTTGCAATCCCGTTGCCGGTCGCGGTACGGGCGCGACACTGAGGGTTGCGATCCCGTTACCCGTCACGAAAAAAGACAAAAAAAAAAAAAAAAATTTTTTTTAAAAGGGGGGAAAAAAAATGAGGGTTCCCGGGGGTGGGGGGGGGGGGGGGGGGGGGG